TCATTCGATTTCATCCTGGACACTACAGAAAATGGGCTAAAAGTGTTAAAAACCGGAATTTTCCTTTAAGGTTCCTAACCCACATGCAGAACACACTCAAGCAAGAGAAAAGTTCAAAGGTTTATTGAAATATTTCTGAACAAAGAATAAACAGATCCAAGGGTTAATCTGATCCAGGACTGGTCAAGAGTGGGTTCACTGCAGAGGGGGACAGTGGAGTTAGTGGATGTCCAGGTAATTTGCAGGATGTGAGTGAGCAGGACAGTACCTGTTCTGGGGTTAGAGCTTAGCGGCTGAAGGGGGGAACCTTGAGGGTCCAGAGGCTGTCGGCAGGCTGAGGGCTTGGCGGAGGCAGAGCTTGGTTTGAGTGTTTGCAGATCACAGATTAGAGTTTCCCTTCCAGATTCTTCTGAGATCAAACTCTTCAGGGTTTCTGGTTTCAGGCAGGTTCAACCTGGGAAACAGAAAGGAGAAATCAGATCAGGTTCAGGTTTTCAGGGAGTCAGAGATTCAGACAGGCGGGTTGGCTCAGGCTTGCTAACCGTAACTGGCAAACACTCTGGCACTGGAGAGACGTCCTCTGCCTCCTTAAATACTGATCTCTTGATGAGCAGATGAGTGACAGGTGATGCAATCAGCTCCGGCTCCAGGAGATCTTGTACGCCCTCTGGTGGAGAAAGTGGACAGACCTCCAGATCCCAACATGGCATTCACAGAACAAATGGATTTTTAGACATAAAATTTTGTACAGGTGCACTCTTTTTTCCCTAATTACTTGAATTCTGAAACAGAATTAAATCAATACCCACACCCCATTTTTCATATTTTTATATTCTTTTTTTTTTTTTTAGAATGATCTACCTTGGGTTGGCAATTAACAGACATGTCAAGCTTAAGGACGTTGGAACTGTGATCCATGAGATGAATTTATATATTTTTAATGGTCCATGAGATGATTACAGAGGGCTGATCCCAGTCATGCGAAAAATGGCAGCTGATACTCCTCACGCAAAAAATAAAACCACACTGAACGTTCAGTCATAGTTTTACTTTATACATTTTGATATGCAGCAACTTATAAGTAACGTAAAATTGTACTTTTTTATCAGAATGCATTACAAAATGGATGTTGACCTTCACCATTAGCTTGGATTTATCACATCTATAATCAATTTAGCGATATAAGGATGTCTTAGGTTGATTTTAATAAAGGAAGATCTCCTGTTGCTCTTGATTGATAAAACCCTCAAACATGAACTTAACTCCACATGAAAATGACTCATTGTGAAAAGTGTATTCCATATAAAGTCCTACCACTTCTGCTTTTTTATGACCCTGCACATATATTACTCATATCCCACACTTGCAGACACACAGTCAGTGGCATGTGTTAGGGATAATCGTATTTATCGTTTCCCATGTAACGTTGCGTTTATTTCTGTTCTGATATTATTTTTATGTTTGTGACTTTAGGACATCTGTGAGGACATTTCTGACCATGTGGAGGAGATTCATGCTTTGCTGGAGACAGAGTTCTCCCTAAAACATTTGTCTTACTCTGGTAACATCATTGTAGACATAAGGTGAGTTTCCTAATCACTAAGCCTGCACTAAACATGATTTTTGGAAAGTCCTGTTGCATTATTAAACTTTTTGTGTAGAGGTTTTTCTCTTCTTCTGTTTAGTCTGAATACTGGAGCTAACAGTTTCTTTTCTTTCCTTTTTGCAGCTGTTGTCAGTCATAACATGTTGAATTTAGATTAATATTACTCAACCATACATTGCTAATTCTGCTATTATTATGTTTCAGGACGGTGCAGCTGCTGTGGCATCAGCTGAGAGTATCAGTTCTGGTTCTAAAAGAACGTCTGTTACAGGGTTTACAGGACTCTAATGGAAACTACACGCGTCAGACTGATATCTTACAGGCTTTAAGCCAGGACCAGCACCAGGTTTGTTTACTAAAGTCAAATTATCTTTTGACTAAAGACTTCAGCTAAAAGCCTTGTGTGCCCAATCATCCTACAATATTTTATATGTCTATGAATATTTTTAACAATTTCTTTTAATATGCTTTATTAATGATATTCTGAAACATAAAGATTAAACTGCTTGTTTGATACACTTTTTTGTCTTCAGACCCGTCTGGATGCGCTAACAGAAGTTGATGACTGCGGTCAGCTGACAATACGCTGCAGCGAGAACTACTTTTCCCTGGACTGTGGCATTACTGCCTTTGAGCTAAGCGACTACAGTCCCAGTAACAGTCCTAAAGATCAGGAAATGGATCCCACAACAGAGGACACCTTCCTGGAAATCATTGATACCACAAACACAAATCTTGAATTACAAACAAGTTTACCACAGCTCTCTCGAACAAGTGACTTAGAAAACGCTAATAATTATACACCTCAATTCCCTGCAAATCAAAGTGACATTCCCAATAACGGCGAAAGCTCAAAACAAACAGTACAAGCTGTTAATCAGAGCACCGAGTCTTTACCCACACATCCCTTGCTTCCAAAAAGCGCTGCTGCATTCTCGAGCAATGGTACCAGATCAATGGGAAGTTTTAGGAAGGCCAATCAGGAATCTGAACTGAAGTTTGATGCTGAGCTGAGTCGAAGCAGCCAATCTGTTCTGGATCCTGTGGACAGATCCAAGTTGTGGTTAGAACTGGGCTCAGTTCATCCAGAAAATGCTCCACAGTCAAGCAAGACGCTTCAGGTTTGAGCCTATCATTCTTTTGCTTTTACAGCATTTTTTTTACCTTGACAGGATGGACTGGTACCTATCTGCTAGTCTATGGGCGACAGACGGGGGTACACTGTGGACAGGTCGCCATTCTGTCGCAGGGCAACTAGAGAACTTCATATTTATTCATAATATGAGGCTCTTCTCTTTCTCAACTGTTAGAAATATTGTACAACTATATAAACATACACAGTCCTCAAAGAAAAGGATAATATTCTCCTGCATGATGCCTTATTAGCCGATTCCCTTTCGAACAAAGTGTTGTTTTCGTTAACGATGACAAAATTATTTTGTTGGTGCTTGTTTTTACATGACAATAACAAGAAATGACAAGCCACACAACAGATCTTTGATGACGAAACCAAGACGATTCGTGGGTGTGAGTTTTCATTGACGAGGTTAAATAAAAATATTAGTGGGTAGTCTGTCAGGCGTTTAAAAACGCATCATTGTGCTATAATCTGCTAAGCAGTATCAGCCTGGCTGCTGAGTCCTAATTGATCATATGCCACTGACCTGGGGTGCAGCGGTGCACATTCTGCATGACTATATGTACTTTGGCAGCAGAGGCAGGGCTAAAAGTAAGCTGGAATTGTCCAGAACTGCACCCCCCAACTCTGAAAAACTGTTCTCTTCCAGCTGTGCTTGGCTTAGCTCCACTTAGCTCAGAGTTTGCTCTTTGCGCTCCAGTATGATGGTTCACTCTCAGAAGAAGACTCTTCAGAATTCAGTGAATAAATAGAAATCAGTGGGTGCTGGACAGAATTTCCTCACGGGGCACCTAGGAAAATTTATAACTACGCTGACGGATCCAGACGAAAAACATGGTGAATAAGCAGCAGCTCCGACTGACCAGGATTTCGCAAATGTAAACATCTACAAACATCATGGGATTTACCTCAAATATATCACCAGTATCAGTACATTGTTAAAAAAACTCCAGAGATGAAAACGCTGTCACTGTCAGATGGCATGAAGAGGCTAACCCACTCAGGCTGTTCTGAAAATGATTTTTATTACTTGTCTTTCGATCGTTAGCCTCGTGAGACCATCCTGATCTCGCGAGCTTTCAAGGTTTCACTCGCAGATCAGTCT